AACCTCCACAAGCTCATCTCAACCTTTAATGCAAGTAAAGTGCAAAACAAACCCTAAAGTCTACAACTTGAACATGGAATGAATTATAAACCAAAAGAGAAGTGGGAGAAGAAGAGAGAACAGCCATGGTATCCCTAATTTCATTCAACCAAAGTTTCAAAACAAAATGTCCTCATGGTTCATCATTCTAGTTAAGCTTCAAATACCTCCAAAGGAGGGACTAAGCAACTTTAAATGATGCTCCAAGGTCCTTGTACAGAAAGGGAGATGAAAGAAGAGTGCCCAAACTCAATCACAAGATTAACAAAAGAAAATGCAAGTTCATGTACAAGATAAAGCAAAACATGTATCATGAAAACCCTAATTGAAATGCCTAAAAGAAAGCCAAACTTAAACAAGTTATGAACACAATTAGAACCCAAAATTGGACATACAAACACCTTATTATGTATATTACATGAATACACAAAGAGTGGAGGCTCAAACATTGCATAAAACCCAAATAAAACACAAACAAGTTCATGTATCAAGGTGAAAACCATACAAGGGTAGGCTAGAATGTAAAATACACTAAAAATAGCACACAAATAAAAAAAAAAGCCAAATAAAATCCTAGATGGCCTTTAAGGTGTTAAGAACCAGGGGCCAATGCTATGGGGAAAAAGTCTAAGCAAGACTAGGCCAACAGAGGGTAAGTTCTAAGGTATACCCTAAAAATTGGTGCAAATCGAGGGTCCTAAAAATCCACCTAAAACCCTAACCAAAAGGTACTAAACCCATGGGTAAAAATGTCACAAAAATCACTCAATATGTCATGGCTATGCACAAGAAAAATCAAACATTTATATGAAATTTTCATCACCAATAAAATCCAAGAACATGAGATATCAACTTTAAACCAAATAAAACCCTTCCAAATGAACAATCATTTTTTAATTGAAAAATATTCAAAAAAATAAATCTAAAATTTCCTAAATTCAATTTACATCTTAAAGTGTGCAAAAACTATTTTTTGGGGATTTTTTATCTCAAATGGAAGTATTTTAATTGATTTAAAATGAAACAGATTAAAAAGAAGAAAAAGAAAATAAAAGAAATGGAAATAGGAAAACGTGTGGCGAATAGCAATATATCCAAGTTATTTCCAATGGGCTTGCTCTGAGGGCGGTGTGGTTAGTCATTTGAGCCCAAGTCCAATACTCAAAACTCACCGTTTCATTTAATCCTAAGTCAACCAGGTCAAGATGCAATCACAACCACACGTTTTAAATTCAAGTCAAATGATCCAATGGCTTAGGACACAGCCACGCATACAACCGGTGCCAACACCAGACGGAGGCTTTGCACTTTCTGGTTGTCTTCCCCGGTTGGCTCGCCGGAGAAGATGAAGTGAGACCTAACCAAAACGTCCCACTTCTTACACCATTCTCATCCTCTCCTCGCGCTCATCATGATTCCAATGTTCAAATTCATTTTTATCCTATAATTAACCCTAACCGAAGCCACAAAGATTTGACCAAGAATCATAAAAGTTCAAGAACGTGCACCAAATTAAACCAGAAATGATCTATGTAAATAGGGTATCAATAATCCATGAAATGGTGTATGATTGGAGCAGGAACAGAGAGAATTTATGCAAGATAACTTATTGTCGCACCCTAATTTTTGACCTTAAGATTCTGCCTCATTGTTTTTCTTACATTTTATCCCTACGCTTTTGTGTGTGTTTATCACCAATAACCAGTTTGTGCAGGTGCAGTAATTCCAAGTATGGACTCTCACATTCAAGCATTTCAGGACGTGAGTAATAGATCCTGACTTAAAAGAGGGCCTCGAGACTTCCTACCGATCTTTTTTTCTTCAAAAATTCTTAGAAGCTTAAGGGTATTATGGGGCTTCTCAAATCTTGTTTCTAGGAAGAGATTCATGATTATCTTGTTAGTTAGTTCGAGAGTATCATGCGTGAAAATGATAAGGTTCGGAAAAAATTTGGAATCAAAGAGTCCCTAAAATAGGATTCGAGGATCATGTCCTTTACAAACAAATTGATTCACTATTTTCTTCCACGAATGTTTGAAGTCGAGGCCTGGTTCATTTGGGTTACAATAAAAACGTAAAATCCATTGCAGACTTCAGGTGGTATTTGAAATCTAATCAAGCGCCATGTTCCTCATCTCTAAGTTCGTACAAGGATACATGAAATTATTCAAATTCCACAATGGGGAATTCATCGCTTCAAACTATAGAAATTAAGGTTGCTCAGATTGCGGGTAAAACACCAATAACACTAGTTAAGATTTATTCAAAACCAAAAGAGTTTGGATTATTCAAAACTGAAGTGAAAGAGTCGGCATGGAAGTTACAAAAACTCACTTGACATTTTACACTAAGGCATTTTGATACAAAGTTTAAGTGATTACATGTAAACTACCAGCAGGGGTTTAAGTTACAAGCCAAGATTAATTTAGAAATGCAAGCGTACAAGGCTAATACAATAAACAATTTAACTCAAGAAAGTCAAACGTCACAGCTTGAGCTACAAACACCTTCCCACCTCACGAATTATAATTCTCTTCTCCTTGTTCTCAATATTACACTATCAGATTAAATAAATTCCTGAGCATGGACTCGTTTCTACTCCAAAGTCAACTCAGCATAGCCTTGGCTCACGATTGACTCGTATTCTTGTTCCAATATCGCATTGTCCAGTCAGTTTGACACCCTTTTGAGCCCTCCTGTTGACTGACTATAAAGCTGGATATCAAATGAATGTGGGGTACAGAGATATCGAGAACGGCACCGATAAAGCGGCTACCGCAGATGGTCCGATGCCGTTTATTTTGAAGAGGATGTTATGCTCTTAATTCCCCTGAAAGGCTTAAGGTTTTCGAGGACTAGGATTGGACATTATTCACTGAGTTATTAACCTTGTGATTTGGAAAGCAAACCATTTCCCTGCATAAAATCAAAAGCAGACTTATTAATCCAAAACCAGAAAAAGACGATTACCGAGAGTCATGAACCATCACCACTACGAATCAACTTCTGCCGGGAAATCGAAAGAGGAACCTAAGCTGCGGAAAGCGGTTGAGGCTGATGTTACGAACCTTTGAAGACGGCATCTATCACCAAAGGAAGTCATCAGTAAATAAAATATCAATTGGAGTCTTCTTTTCATGACTTCAAGACTGCATCAGATAAATTCGATACCGTTCCTGCAATGATGAGGCAATTGTGAGAAGGGAAGAAAACATAATGAAACACATCAAAAACAATCAATGATTACGAGTCCTAGAATTCAACCTTAATCTTATGTCGTATCTCAATTGTAGCAGGTGAACCAGTTGGTTATGGCTACACAATCGCAAATGTAACCAACACGACAACAAATTCTTTGACCGCTAACCTTAAACTCATCATTTCCTCGTCTAACTTTGGAACAGATATCCAATTCCTCACCTGTGAATGACAACTACAAAATACCAAATTAATCAATTGAAGTGATAGTAAAAGCATTTGCAAGAGGAGGAATTGAATCTACAAGCATTTACAAACATAAACCCTAATGTTGTGCTTGAGAGCTATGCACTGAATATCACGATAGTTGATGATTTTGAAACCTTTATTTCTTCTTTGAAAACAAGTCATTTTCTCCTGGTAAACAAGACATGGTTGGAGACAGGTGTTTTTGAGGATGCTGCTTCTGGTCATATTCAGTCACTTCTTCCTGGCGAAACTGCCGGTTTTGCATGCACTCCTCCTTTGGTTGTAGCACCTAGGATTGATGAGCGTACATTCAAGCGCGAAGGGATCTGTGCTGCATTTTTTACCAACCACCATGGGGGTTATTTCTGGGCTCCTTGTCCTGAACACACTAAAATTATTGTTAGCCAAAACCTATCAAAGCAACACGGCTAATAATCAGAACAACCATTATGGAAACAAGTTGAAGTAAGAAGGATTTAAGAAGAATAATTTAAGTTTTAGCCCTCAGCTCAATCCGAAAACAATGGACAAAGCACAGCTGCCACAACCTGCATCAAGAAGAACAGAACAACTCAATCCCTCAACCAAAGCATCGACACATCAATAAGGGAGGATTCATGATTACGAAGACAGAACCGACAATCATCCGGACTTACCAAACAGTATGTCATCCATAAGTTTTTCCAATGAGGCAGTAATTAATGGAATGAAATAATCGCAGCTGCCTCTGATCTATCGAATGAAGGGCTACTGGAAACTTTTGTCCTTTGCACTAACTCGAACTACCGGCTCCAATACAATGTCGAAGCAAAAAAAACTCAGCCCCGTTCGCAATGCCTTCAGGTTCCTGCAAAACAATCAAAGTCAGCACAGCAGTCACAACAACAAGTTCCACAACAGCAATTGTTTGTTTTATCAGCAGTAAATCATCTTTCCAGCATGCTGTCGTCATCACGGTTTCTTCACGGCCTCTAAGCGGTGTCATTTAGCCTGCAGAAGTTTGAACACAGGATTAAAACATTATGACCACATGATATATTTTTTTTTCATACTAGCAAGTATCACCACAACATACCAATTGCCGGCCTAATCTGATTCCGCCCATAGCTGTCATCGCCAAAACAATGTTTCGAGGGAGGTTGATTTGAATAGGTGCATACCGCTGCAAAACGGAAGAAGAAGACCAAATACAACCTGTCCAAAAAAATAGCAGCATTGATTCAGAAAAGTTAATTCAAGAAAAGATTATTATTCTTAGAATTATTCATCACCCTAACATCATTCGACTTTTTGAAGCTATAGAGACCAATGATAAGATTTACCTTGTTTTGGAGTATTGTGGTGGTGGGTGACCTTTGAGGGTTTTGAAAGGCTAGTCTCTAAATCCAACATTCTCTCAATGGTCGTGTCTTTTCCAGTTAATCTTGCGACCTTCAGATGTCACTCATTTTTAGTATAGTACTATTAGGTACAGATTAGAGAAGCATTTCTGATCAAAAATCAACTACTCAAAAATGTCATTTGTAACTGCTTGCGACGGTACTTCCAAATTTACGGCACCATTATCATTACCACCATCTTTTAACAGCTTCGGCATCACACAGAACAACAAGATGAAGAAGGGCTTGGTGTTAGGTTATTGGAGGTTTATTAACACTAGAAGGAATGTGATTGTTAAGGCATCAAGCGACGTTGCTTCACCATCCATCTGGGAGAACTGGAAACCTCCCAAATCGTTTCCTACTCTTTCCTTCAGCGGTATTCTATGGCCTTACGCATGTGCATTTGTAGCGGTGGCCATATTGGGAAAACTGGATCAGTTATTGACACCAAAAGGACTCTCAATCACAGTTGCACTATTAGGAGCAGTTTCTGCACTCTTATTTGCCTCACCTTCAGCCCCTTCTACACGGAAGTACAGTATGTTGATGGCTCAAATAGGTTGTGCAGCCATTGGTGTTTTAGTGTTTACTATGTTTGGACCTGGATGGCTTTCCAAGGGTCCTAGTGTTGCAGCTTGTGTTGCCTATATGATTTACACCGTCGGACGATTCCAAACCCCACACCCACAGTATACCGTTCCTGAATCCGAGACTGTCATACAATTACATATTAGAGCCAGGTCTTAGTCCTTTGGGAATCTAATGTCAGTCAATTTGCGATGAAGTTAGCAGAATCCCAGTAATGAAGAAATGAGAGCCTACTCACCAGTCTTAAAATGGAAGCATCAGTTTCTATTGTAACCGCATTTGCACTATCCATCAGCATCACCAAGGCGTGTCATCAGTGTTGTGGCCATTAGGAGACTACCTTACCGCTTCTATCATCATGTAAGCAAGGCACCCCTGAAGAGAAGACAAGGAAAGTTAGGAAGATAACTTTCTAAAAACAGCAAGCTCGGCAGTATGCCCGTAAAAAAAAAAGAAGATCGTTCTTGAGCAAGACAAAAATGGAATGGTTAAACAAAATCCAACAAAATATCAAAGTCCTTCAAGAGCAATCATCAAATCAATATCAGTTATAATAGCTAAACTTGTTGAGTTTGGAAAGGAAATGAATTAACGTGATCTGGCTCAAATAGGGAAACCAAATTATCATCCTCATTCATTCATCATTGGAAATCATCAAGAATGGCAATAATTTAAGCATGTTTAAAACGAAAATTACAGCTTCCATTTCTTTATAAAAATACTCAGACATGTTGGTGCAAGAATGGAAAAGAGTTTATCATACGATTAAATTCGCTTAAGCCTATAAAAGCAGAGTACACAACATTCAACGGGAGGGGGAGAACACACAAAATAATTCATAACAGTTCACACATAAACCACACAAAGATCCCAATCAAAAAACCCTAAAATCCACGAACCAGAAAACCCCAAATATTCGAAGAGAAGAAAGCCTAAATCGCAGAATGAATTGGAGAAAAACTTACCTCTGAGTACGTTCAACACCCTTGTCATCTTCGCCCTCGCCGGAAATCGCTTTCACCATAAAATCCATCGTCATCAAACCACATCCTCGCGATTCCATCGACGTGAAGCACCCATTCGTCGGAATCGCCATCGGCGCAAAAACCCCGCAAAAAAAATCTTTCGACCATTGAGTCTTTGTCTGGCTAATAGATATCTGTTGATTTTCATTTGTTTTGTAGGAAATCGAAGAGGGACGGAAGCTGGGAGACAGAGACGAAGCAAAGGAGAAGAAGAAAGGTAATCGAAGGAAAGAGGAGAAAGAAACGGGAGAAGACGAAGCTCGCCAGCGCGAGGGGGATTGATTAGGGGAACTTAGGGTTTCCTTCTGTTTTTTCTCCAATTTTGATATTGTAATAATCCTGTACACCCACGGACACGCACCTTACCGTGCACCACAATGTGCCACCACACATCTCACTTGATAACCAGATCAAACGTCCCATACGTGCAGACCATAGTAAGCTCCGTGTACCACACATACCGTGTCAGACGTCGTTATCTCCTAATCGCCACTAACATGCGTTTATCAGCTTAATTACCCACCCTTGAATTAATTAACCTGCAAATTAACATTAATTTGAATAATTAATTTAGTTAACTTTTAATAAACTCTTAATCTTCCACTTAATTAATAATCATCAACCTTAATCTTTTATTAAATATAGCCCAATAGCTAATAATTGAATCTTTTTAAAATCAACCATTTATTAATAAAATAACTTAAATTTTTTTTTAGTAAACTTTAGCCTCTTAATAATTATTCCTTTTATTTCTACTAACTAATTAATCTAATAATTTTAATAAGACTCTTTTAAAATAAATAAAACTAATCCCCTTTTTATTAATTAATTCACATTTAAATCAACCTTTTATTTATTGAGCAATGTAATAATCACTCAAACTTTTTTTAAAAATACTTAAAATCTTTTACACGATAACTTTACTCATTTAATAATATCTCCCAAAAAAATAATAAATATATAATAACTAAGTTTATTTTAATAATAAAGAGCTTATTTTATAACAAAAAAATAGTAACTTATAATTATTAATAATATTGTCTCATATTTAATAAATCTTTTATAAATCTATTTTTTTTATCCGCACCCAAATCTCAATTAATTCATTTTTTTTATTCATCCAATATAAATCTCCCCCTAAAATAAATCAACATCTAATCACGCACGCTTGTGCCTCTCTCCGTCCTCGCACTTCACAATTCACACACCTAGCGCTTTCATGCGTCTGTGCATGGATTTATTTTTTCGCAATTTACATTTATTGCATTTACATTATCGCAATTTACTTTTATCGCATTGCATTCCGTCCAAAGGAAAAACCTACACATGATTCAACAATCGTGTGTAGTGCATCTCATTTGCATCATATTCCCCATGATCCTTGATCTCATTCAAGTCGATCTTCTTAAATTTAGGACCTCCCCCCATAGGAAGGACCTTGTCTTTTATCTTTTACAACTTAGAACAAACAACACAACACAAACAACTCAACAACTTATCCAAACACAATAGAGAAAGGATGCCAAATCATCTTAAGCGAGATAGAATCTCCACCCCTACAACAATACAATCAAGCTGTAGGAACTTTGCCTTAAGAGAAATAAAGGCATACTCGTCAAACAATCTGAGTACTTAAGCCCTTTTCTTAAGACGATGCAAAGACTATTTTCCTACACCTTGTGGGGGTTAAATCTCCCTTAAAATGAAGACACATCTCTTCTCCTAAAATCAATCAAACAACTACCCTAAACCAGTAGGAACTTTGACCACAGTCAAAGAACTCCTCTAACCCTTTAGGGGAACTACAGATACTCTGATTCCACTCCCGTAAGGATATGTAGGCATAAGATGCGACATCTTATCGAGTATACTTAGAAATAAACCCCTAGGTCTTTCAACCATTAAGCAGATAACCACTTAGCAATAAACAACATAAAAACAAGAGGTTCCTGTAGAGTACTATAGAAATTTAGGATGCTAATACCTTCCCTAAGTTTAACCAACCCCCGAACCTGAAACTCTCTAGCTTGCATTTGCATTGCATTGTGGGAATTTCGATCTTTATCCCTTCCTTTGGACAAATCAAAGTTCGGTTGCAAATTGAATTAAAGATTCAAACTAATCAATAGTTTGGTATCTGAATTTCACCGTGACACTTACCTAACAGAGTGCCTCCATTGGGCCTTGATTTGGTGATGAAACTTAGGGGAAAACAACCTGAAAGCTTCCACAAACTTCAATGAAGCTTCAGGCAGTCTCAATTTGGCTTGAAATGGCTTCAATTGCAAAACTCGATTTCAACTTCTCCTTGAGTTGTTGTAACTGAATTCTCCTTCAATTCTGATCCAAATCACCTTCTGAAGCTTTGTACATGATCAGGATGTTATATACTTTGGATCTGAATGCTTATGGAGGCCCAATTATGGCATGTTACCATGAATTGAAATCCAAAATTTCCACTTGAAAGCTCCAAAATTGGCACACGAATTTGGCTCCAATGGTTGTGGTTTTGGTTCAGACAGTTAGCATATACTTCCTTCTGATCCAAAGGATAGAATTGCACCCTTAATTTGATCTTATGGTGTGATTTTGATATGTTACTTCATTGTGAAGAAACTTGGAAATTCAACATGCTAATGACCCCAACTCTCAATTCTGATATTAGCATTGTATTTGGTCCATTCAAGTGACTCAAAAAATGCATAAATTTGTCATGAAATGGTACGTTATGAATTTAATCCAAATTATGCCCTTTAAGTACTTTTCCATGGAAATTCCTTCATCAATCTTCCAATTCAATCCAAACCCATGATAGGTGATGACTTGATGATGAAAAGGATTTCATTTGAAGCAAATTTGATGTTGGAAAAATTTCCATTTGAAGTGTGCAAAGTTGTGAAATTGACCTATAACCAAAATGACTTATAATCAGTTTCCCAAAATACCCCTGCCTTGCAAGCTTCATATCTTGAGCTCTACAAATCAGATGAAAGACTTCTAGTACTTTTTTCAAAGCTAAGTTCATAAGGAAAACATTTTATGTTTGGGTCAAAGTAACAAGAAACATACTTCTAGGTCAAAAATGTCTTGGAAGTTGGTTTACTTTTGTTGACCAAAGTCACATTCATCTGAGGACCCATAACTTGTTAGCATCATAACTTGAGTTCTATAAACCCAGTGGATGGTTTCTAGTACTAAAAAGAAGGCTAGAAACATGCTCTACAAGTTTCATGTTGGGGTCAAGATGAGATGAGACCTGTATCTTGAGATATGTGGTCTTGAAGTTAGGCACTAAACAGGGGATTTTACACTGATAAGCTTAGAAACCTTAGCTTATCAACTTCTAACACTCTTGATTCTTTTTGATTTGATCTTTGAATAACATCTTAGATATCTCAACACAACATTCCATGATCACAAAGACTTGGAATTGAGTCTTAATCTCTTTTAATTCAACAGTGGACTTAGGGTTGACCAGATGAAAACCCTAACTGCATCACGTTTGACTGGGGCTTCTTGCACTTGATATAATGACTTGAACAAACTCCTCAATGAACCTCAAGACATTCAATGAGCTTATATAATGTTCTCCGTCCATAATCATGGACTCAATATCATCTGATGATCTTCACATGGCCTCCAAGATAGGAGGTGAACCATATTCATTCATCTGCCTTCTTCAAAGAACTTTGGCTCTCCTATGATGATGATAAACATTGGATAGCTTTAATAAGACCCCTTGATTAGGCTTAGAACCTTTGGCAATCTCCTCTTGCTAGGCACACCTCTCTCAATCCCATGTAAAGGAACAATGGTATGCAAATGCTAATGCTATGAAAATGCAATGAAACATAAACCAAGTTAGAAAAAGGTTGGGAAAATTTTGGGGTGCAACATTGTCGCGGTGAAATTTGGATACCAAGCTATTGATGAGCTTGAATCTTATTCATTTGCAACTGAACTTTGATTTGTCCAAAGTAAGGGAAAAAGATCGAAATACCCACAATGCAATGCAAATGCAAGCTAGAGAGTTATAGGTTCGGGGGTCGGTTAAACTTAGGGAAGGTGCTAGCATCCTAAGTTTCTGTAGTACTCTACAGGAACCTCTTGTTTTATGTTTGTTTTATTGCTAAG